GATCGCACACAACAGGCCATAACATGGACCTAGATTTTAAATGCTATGTAAATATGTTTCTTCACTATCAAGAACGCAGTAAGAAAATGAGTCTATGACCATCAAACTATCTTTGTCAAAACATAAACCTACATTGAAATTTTTCCGCATAGATTTTTTCAAGCATAATCTAGATCACTGAAGAAAATTTTGTGCACATATGCTCACTCTCACCCTCCAAAATAATCATTTGGAAAATAGCAAACATCCAAGAGGAAAGACAGGACAATAGTTTCTCATCACGCCATAGATCCTCATCAGTTGCCATAGTTTTTTGTTAGGGATATTCTCCTAAGAAACTATTTATAACTTATTAACAAAAAAAAAAAATATATATATGTATAAGGATAGGTTTGAGTTGAATAGTTAATTCCGAATTAGTTACAACAGCAGAGTTTTACTTTTCGCAATTTTTTAAATATTCAAAAATGAGTTAGAAACTGCAAAATATTGGGGCGAATACCTTGATGGGGCAAAAAATACGAAATACAGAAATGCACATGAAATGATATAGAAAATATTGGCTGTATGGAATTGTAGTTAAAAAATGTTATATTCAAAATTAAAAGTCCAAATTTTTTTATATTATTTTATTAATTCAATTCATTTGTAAATATACGCAAAATCACCTCCAATAATCCCGCAATAAAAAAGAGTCGTTAATTGATATCAATATTGATAACATTTGATTTGTGACACTCAACTGGTGATGAGATTGCACTGACATTGTATTGGTTATCCATATTTAATTGATCTTTTGACATACCAATAATGAATTGACAAATTGTCGAACATTTAATAGCTAATAATAACAAGTAATATATACATACTTAAATGGTAGATAGGTATATGTAAATAAAATACTCTTGTTATTTTATTTTTCTTTCTTATCTGTGCAAATAAAAATAATAAAAAGTATTATGGATTCTCCATAATAATCATATGCTGTTGTTATTATTATTTATTTGTTTTTCATTGAGAGCAGAGAGACCTTGAAAATTTTGCAAAACTCTTCATTAAGAGCTTTGCTGTTCCTCCCTCCAAAAAGCCAAAGAGAGAATATTAACACTTTTGTGTTATTGCAAAAAACACTCTCAGTAAATATTTACTCGGAAACTCACAGAGATCATTACATTGTAATAAATTGTTATCAGTATTACTGGTTGTTGTTGTGTGCGTGTATATCTGTATGTAGGGTTTATTTGTCCTTGGCTACTTGAAATTGAATTTGTGCGCAATATGTTTTACATTTGTAAAAAGAAAATAATAACAATTTGTAAATGTATGTATGCGAGTATGTGTGTGAATGCGTTGTGCTTTTTGGGGAACTTGAGAATGCAAGGGAAGGTGGCAGTGTAACAGAAACAAGTAAATACCGGTACTTAACAATAAAAGTACACATTGTTGCAATTGAAAAATTAAATGTCATTTTTTATTTTAAGAGAGTGCAAAAGAAAGACTCTCTCTCTTCCTCTTTATTTGCCTGTCCATCAAAACCCACAAACACTTGAAGTTAATAACAGTGTTAATGTGTATTAAATTTGTATTTAAAGCAATTTAAACAAATAATAAAACAAACAACAACAAATCGGCGGCAAAATGTATTTTGTTGTTTATATTGTTATTAACCACATATTAGAGAGCAATAAAAACCAGTGCACTTGAAATGACGTAGTTCGAGTATTTTAGACCTTGACTAAATTTTAATAGCTGTTCTTAATGGCAACAACGTAAAAAGGTAGAATAGAAAAAAGCGTTAATTGCATTATAAACTATGACTGTTTGTTTGTTTGGTTGAATGGATGGATGGATGTCTGTCTAGCCGGCTGGCTACCAACCTACCTAACCACTTGGCCAGTTAGCAGTTCATTTAATATGCATTAATTCATAATTAAATAACAAATATGATACTATTTTTGTATGCGTGTCTGTCTGTGTGTGTGACTGCGTCTAGGTGAAAGGGTATCGGATATAAAAACAAATCTGGATTATGAATTTTTAAACATATTTGTTTGTTATTTTCTGTTTGTGATTATTCATCACATAATCCGACTGGTTTGGACAACTTGCATTTGAAAACAGAAAATAAACTTGATTTTTTGTAGATCTATAAATGTTGTTATTCTTCTATTCAATTTTAATAATAAACAAAGTTTAATTAAATAAAAACTAATGCGAATACATCATAAAAGTTATTTTTAGTTTAGTCTGCCAATAAAGGTGTTAATTAAAAGAGGATTAATGAATTAAAAACCAAATATTATTAAGAACGACAACAATTTTTATGTCCCCCACACTCCAATTTTGCAATGTAATCAATCTTTATTCAGAAAGACTTTCAGTCTAGTGTGATTTTTCTAAGAGAAAACAAGTGAAATGTATTTAAGAATATTTATAAAACAATCTATGTGAATTTTAAATTAATCACAAATGAAATTGTATTTTATGAAAATTGTAAGAACTGCGATAGACCTAATCATACGTGTATCGGTATAAGTTTTGTAAGTTTTTTTTAAAAAAAATTAGCATTAAATGAAACCTTCTTTAGGAGTCTCTTCTGTCTTTGAAGTTTACCAATTTTCCCAAAAATATGGTCATTTCAATCGCGAAATACCCACCAGATCAGGATTAAAATATCAAAATATCATTCTTTGGAAACAGTATCACCAAATTAAGGTTCGCTTAATTTTTTTTCATATATGTATGTACATATTTCAAGGATTCATATTAATATCAAAATTATTACAATTGTCAATAACATTTCGCAGAAGAAGAATGTCGAGTAAACAATTACAAGAAATCTTGTAGACCACACCACCGCATCTAGAAGCATTCCATCGTCGTATGGTATCTAGGAGTTTTTTTTTTCAATTATTATCATTAATTTTATTTATTTTTAGAAATATTTTTCAATGATTTTGTGACGTAAAATTCCCGGGCTAGAAAAAGAGCATGACAACGAAAATGATACATTAACAGGAGAACTTCTAGGAAATTATGTCGAAGTATATGTATTTTTTAAAAATATGTATACAGAGAAGTACAATTAACAAGTAAAACATCGTTATGTTCAGTCGAGTTTCACAACCAAATTCGTATTAAAAATATCTAAACTCGGTCGGGACAATGAGAAAAGTAAATATCAATTAAATCGGAAAAGTTGTCTACTTTAAATCCAACGAGAATTGGCAAAGCAAAACAGTGTTCTATTTGCCACATAGAACAACGTTTTTCTATGCGATATATTAATGTCTGTCTGCGATATATTAATAAAAACCAGTGAGCGAAATATATTATCCCATAAATATTTACCAACCTTTACCAAAAACAATAGGGGTCTTCATTGGCCAGAACCGATCCTACATTGAAAATTTCGTGAAGATTGGTCCAGAACTGTGACCTGTATCGTGTTTGCAAATTATAATGGAGAGACGGACGGACAGACACACATATCTAGATCGACTCAGCTAGTCGAGATATGACGATCGGTATACTTAAAGATGGGTCTACGAACAATATTTCCCTGCGTTACAAACTCTTGCGACTGCACAAAGCTATAATACCCTGACAACATAGTTGTGTAGGGTATAATAATGTTTAAATACTGAAAATTGGTAACAAAAATCCACCTTTATAGCCCTTAAAAATATATTTTTTAAAATTATCTACGCTTTTAGTCCTTAGAGTCTTTGAATAAAAAAAAAACAAAATATCTACACCTATTGCTTCAAATGTCCTGAAAAATTAATTTTAAACAATCCTCACATATTTTCTTCAAATATTAATTTTTTAACCAATTCATAACGATTTTTTGAATTGAACTATAGTCAAACAAAAATCCACAAAAAATAACATATTACATGTCAACAATAACAAAAACAAACCCATCGAAGCTTTTAACTCAGAATTTGTTTTTTTTATGTCTGCGAAGCATTTAGATATGCAGGTGATTTTATATTATTTTTTTATTGTAATTTTTTTAATTTCTATAATGTTTTATTAGACTTTCTTGTAGACCATGTCATTTCCACCGCAATATAAATTTTTAATTTCCTTTAAAAAAAATCATATTAATTTATTTAAATAATAACGAATCAAAAAAAACCCACACACACACACAAAACAAATTCGCAAGCTGAGATATTTCCCATAATAATAATTTTCTACTACAATTACAAAACAATATATTATTGCTATGTGCGTACGTATGTACGTGTGAGTGTACGTTCACATACCTTTTTTTGTGGTATGATTGATGTATTATTGTATTGTTAAAACAAACAGCAATCATACGCTCCGATGTTCTTCCAACAACGAATCAACAAATAAATTTGTGGTGTTAGATATGACGTATACTTAATATAGAAGAGAATATTATACGCCCAATTGGCAATTTTATCTATAAATATCTGCATATGTATCGCATGATGGTAATAAGTTAATGGTGGAACAAAACAGAAACAAATCAAAATGTGGGGGAGACCGAGAACATGGAGTAAGAAAGAGTGCAGCTGTTTCTATTTTCAAATTTGTTTATTTTGTTGTTTTTTTTTCGTTTCGCTTCGAAATTGTGTAATGCATCAAAAAAATATTCTTATTTTTTTATACACATATATGCGATGAACTAAGCTTAAATGTCGATAAACTTTTGAAGTCACATGATGTGATTTTTTTTTCGATGTGCAAACATCATATTCATTGTTATTGGGTTATAATGGGGTGTTTATGGTTCCGCTTATATACGTCTACATATATATTTCAAATATTTATCATACAAATTTGATTTGAATTCTTTTTTTTTTTTGTTATGCATTTTGTATTTATATTTGTTTTCTCCTTTTTTCTCTCTTTCCATTTCAGCATTTTCACATTATTGTGTCTTAATGTTTATATAAGAAAACAAAAAAAAAAAAACAGAAACAATTTATAACGTCCAAAGAAATGCAATTTCTCAAGGTGAAATGGGACCAGAAAACATTCCCCTTATGAATGAAATCAATTTTATGTCAATGGATACACTGAATGGCCAAGACACCCTAACCAATATGGAAATTACCAATTTAAAAAGTGATGACGACTCCCTGAAGCTGCACTCAATCTCTGCATGGAATCAGGACAATGATGATGGCACCGATGGTGGCGGTGATGACAGTGGTGCCATATTGGATGACAATATATCGCAAGTTGGTTCGGATTATTCCGAATTCCCGGGCAATGAAATATTTGGCCAGTCAATGCCATCGGATAGCTATGGTGAAGATATAAAATATCATCCTGCCGAAATGATGTTACGACCAACATCATCCTCCGCCATACAATTCAATTACAATTTCCCACCCCTGCATACGTTAACGCCCCAACAACAACAGCAGCAACATCATCATCAGAATAGTTCGCTGCATCAGCCACAACAACATCCCTCCCAATGCTCACAACCTCCCATCTATGGTGGCGATCATCATCGTCACATTCCGTTACCTGAACGGCATCTGTATCATCGGAATTCTCGTGATATGTGTGATTCGCCGACAACGGATTATAACCAAAATTCTCATCCTAGTCAAAATTATTTCCCTTCGAATATGTGGTATCCCAATGCACCGATTGGTGGTTATCGATCCTATGGATCGCATGTTTATGGTCGGCAGTATGGCGGACAATTTCCACACGATCATATGATGGATATGTTTCAGCTTTCAAATAGGTAAGTGTGGGAAAATGGAAATCTGAAGAGGGTTTTGGGATAGATAGACTCAAAATATGTAGTACCTTATAAAAAATTACCTTATATATATTCTAGATCATAATGAAAATCTATGCCGATTTAGCCTAATCTCGCAATATTTATATAGAGAAAATGGGATATACGATTTTGGGTACATTTTTCAACCAAATTGGCTACAATTTAATTTTTAGCTTTTCATTATTGGGCACCTTGAAAACAATAATTGAAAGAAAACTTAAAATCCCTTCAAATCTGAAATTGACATTTTTCCCCATTTCAATACCAGATTCTGGAAAATTATGACCCTGACGATAACCTTACATTCCACATTTACATCTTCCATTTAAAGTCACCCTCCGATTGATGCGTAGTATGCGCCAAAGACAGAAATCTGGGAAAACAACAGGTTTCCAATTTGTTTTCATTTTTTTTTTTTTTTTGCATTTGGCCCTGGTTAAACAATAATAGTTTCACTTCTTCGATTGTCCAACCACACGTACACAGTCACACACACATAAATGAATACGCGTGGCCATGTCATTTCGTATTATTCCCCGTCTTAAAGGCAACTACGCAAAAATATAAAATGTGCAAAAATCACAACAACTTCTGCTGCTGCTTCTTCTTCTTTGGAATAATATATATCCTTATAATTCGTTCACAAATAGAAAAATTCCATGGACAAGGACTCGACTCGAAATGAACCGAACCGAACTGAATGGAAATGTGTACACAAACAATAAAAACAAAACAGAAAAACAGCATCAAAATCGAAATCAAATATCCCGCAGGAAACCGCACACTCGACTACATACACACACAGACAGACAAACACACGTATTAGATGAAATCAAAAAGGGAATCAGGGGGGTGGTGGCGGTGGAGTGGTGAGGGTGGTATTTTGATTTTCAGAATACCGTTACTGTTGCTGTTCAAGACAAATCTTGATGTTGCTGCCAGACATTAAATAAATTAATAAGTAAACATATACATATGTACATTCATGTATATGTAAACACGTGTGTGTGTGTGCGTAAATAAATAAAGAAAACAACTGTATCTATATTTGTGTGTTTTATAAATGAATGTCCTTTAAATATAAAGCAAATAAAAAAGAAACAGAAACTATTTCAGATTTGTCATGTCCAGTATATCAACTTTATTTGTTTAGGTTATAGATCCGATTATTGCATTTATCGGTTTGTTTGTGTTTCAGGATTTTCTTTTGAAAATTCCATAACTTTTTCTTATAATTACAACAAAGGAAGGGTAGAAGAAGGTAAACAAAATGAAAGTGGTGAAAAGTCTACAAAGTTTTTCGAAGGTTTTTTTTGCCTTAAGCTACAGGTTTCAATTTATTCTTAAAAAATGGAACATATTTCTTTTTATAAATAATAATAAATAACTTTTTGAAAACAGTAGAAATTGTGAATGACTGTGTATTGCCAAGAAGGCATTTGTGACTATATACTGCCAACAAGGTAGGGATATGACAAGACATATGTATGTCATATGCCTCACAATTCAATGGTTCTCTTTGGTATCAAAATCATGGCTCGGCAATCAAATTATGTTTTTGGCTAGATTCCGCTCGACTCTAAACATAAATTAAAAATTGCTATAAGTGGTATATATAAATTAAAATCGATCAATTCGGCGTTCGCAAAGGATATAATACCCTGTCATGAGAAATATGCAATATTTGGAAATACTCCTAACGATTTTTCATATCGACAGGCTATAGAATATGTTTTTGCCTTTTTAATGAGTCCTGACAATATTAAAAAAAATATCATTGTCTTCCTAGACTACCGTGTGTTCTTATAATTACTTTCCTTATAGTGGGATGAAAGTTCGACCTGGACAAGTTTAAACCCTTTTGGGTTTTGGGAATTTTGGACAGGTTTTCCCACCAAATTGGCTGTAATTTGGTATTTAATTCTGAATATTGACCCCAAGATTCAGAGTATCCCATATAACGGTACCTCCATGAATTCGGTATTCTAGGGATTCTGGACACGTTTTTCAATCGAATTTGCTGAAATTTGGTAGCTCCACTGACGTATTTTTCGATATGTTCAAGGTCCTATCATAACATGAGTTGTCTTCTAGGAGCCCCCATTAATATTAGATATTTTGATTGTCATCCTCATGGTAGAGGGTATAAAAGTTCGGCAGGGCCTTAACATCGTTTTTACTTAAAGTACTCTAATATATACTTCTTGGCTAAACTACGGCATTTCGTTCCGACTTCTGACATTTCTTGAATAATTTCGTGTGATCATTTTTCACAAGATTCGGTGTGGTCGTAATTATATCAGAGTGCGCCCATAAACCTTAACCTTTATATGAATGGTGTAACGAATATAGTTGTGGACGCTCAAAGACGAAGTTCATCAGCTAGACCTGAAGTCCAAAACAGTCCCTGTACCAAAGATCATTGATGCCGTACGTGAACTGATATTGTACCGTGAGATAGAAACATCGTTCGACATTTCTTCCATCAGCATACATTCCATATTGAATGAAAAAAGGGTTTTTTGATAATGGACCCCGCACAATTTGATAGTCGCTCAAAAAAGCCCGTGTAGATTGGTGCCAGATATGTACATATGAGCCAGAAACAAAACAAAAGTTCGGCTTGAGCAACATAGGACGGTTTGTTTTCCTTAAGTCTTCGGAGGAGTTCGGAAAACAAATAAAAGAAAACGATTCAGTGTGCACTATGAGCGTGTTTTTTTACAAATTGGCTCAAAACAGTGCCTTTTGACCCGTCAAAGATATAAATGAGAGAATATTTTGAAAAACAGTGGAACAATTTTCATGATGATATAGACATCGTAGTATTTTTTTATTCTAACAAGGTATACATGAATAATAAAAATTGCATAGGGGAATATTTAAAAATGAATTTTATCACATCCGACTCCAGCCAACTGCATCTATGACAGGAAATCTTTAAATGCACAACTCTCAATGCATAACATACAAGTAACATTATTATTTTGGTAAACCCTTCCATCCCATTCGTTTTTAGGCCATAGTTTTTCGGATAACTTCCAGTAGATTGGTTGACCTTTAAATTTGCATGAAATGTTTTCTTCAGATTTTTCGCATATTTTCAAAGTAAATTGGCTTCGTATGCTGTGAAATCGATTTTGATCTTCGAGCATATTTTAAATCTAAAACCTTGAATTCGGTAGCAAACGATAAACACCCACTTTGATAATAATACTGAATAAACATATTAACCACTGTAATATACATATGTATGTATGTAAGACTCTTACAATCTGACGTCCACTTTAGCATATTACACCCACTCAACCACTGATTTAATTCACAATTTAAGGTCTCTATACTTCGTTTTTATTTTGAATTATTTACTCGGTAATAGCTGTCGTGTGTTTCAAATTCTTTTCTAAGAACATTCATTCACTGAAACGACGAACGAAACAAAAAATATTTGATTATTTCATTTTCTACCAGAAGAAATGAAATTATATACTGATTAAAATTGAATAAGGCTAATCATTTGGAGGAGGAGGAGATTTTATGCCTTACGAAATTTAAGATGAATCCATCTATAGAAAATGGAAGAGAAAAAAATATATTTACTACAAATACGTCAAACATTATTTCGGACAAGACAGACATACAGACAAACAGCTGTCTTGTCGGTCATGAAAGATTTAATACACACTCAATCTGTTTAATAATAATGTGTGTAATAAATGATTGGCTTAAAGGTCTAGCCATAATAATTCCTTCGATTTATACCCTCTTCTGCGTCAATAAATGACGTACGAATGTGTTTCAACTGGAATTGCCTAAAAGTCGGCATCACAGATACCCATTTCTAAGTTGGCATTATTAAATGACTGAATCGTGTTTGATTTTTATTTTCTTTTTGTTCGCTTTTTTTGATTGATAAATAATATTTTTACGTCGCAAAATAACATTTCACGTGAACGAAAGTGATTTAGAAATGTCCTTGACAACAGCAGCAAATATCAAAAAGTTATCAACCTTGCAGCAACAATGTATAGAACAACAACAGCAACAACAACTAAACTGAACCTTCCAAAGCAGTGTTGGGTCTGTCTGTCGGCCGGTCGGTTGGTCGGTGAGAAGAAAGTATGTGAAAAATTGAAATAATCATTATTGTTGGATAAATAAAATATTAGCGAAAATATTTAACAATTCCCTCAAGTTGTCACTTTGCCAGACAGCTTTAAAGAAAAAAAAACGGCAAAAAGTTTTGCAGACATGAAATATTCCTTAGGGGTTGCAGAAAACGAAAAAACCAACAGTCGTTAGACAGAATTACTACATCCAAATAAAGTGCTACAGACAACGAATATTAATGGAGTCTAAATGTGATCTGTTTTTAATGGTTGCGAACTCATTACGACATACGGTGGCTGATTCTTAACGAGTCTGTGAAATTTATTAAAACAATTGAGAATTGGTTATATAATGGAAAATTGTCGTAGAATATTTACTATGCTCAACACGTAGCCATGAAGGATTTATAACTCTATTCCCAAGTGGCAGGAATTGAATTATGGAACATTATAAATATTATAAAAAAATAAACATTTTAGTATTGGACTTGATATGAAAGGTATTAAATTGGACAAATTTAATGCAATTTTTATATAAAAATATCGCATATAGGTCTTCAAATAATTACAGATTGATACTCTTAGCACCCTGGCATTTTTTCTATTATTTAAACTCCAAATTTTTCGTATTGTCTATTAGTTGCAGATTTTCTAAGGAGATTTTTTCTCATGTTACTTCCATAAAGCATTGCCACAAACTCGATTAGTCCTTATCATAGTTTCATTAACCATTTCATTGTTTTAAGTATAGCATAGTAGATGATTGGTCCTAGACCGTGGGGCTGTCTTCTATCGGAGCATAGAGACAACGTCTTCTTAAATGTTTGCAATGGTTTGTGTCATTGCTTATTTCGTGTTGCCATTTTCCGCTGAGTGCCGCTATTCCCTGTCAGTACTATTTTGTGTTGTTGTTTTAGAACGACAGTCGGCTTCGGATGTATTTTATCTAGAGGGAGATGTAACCCTATTTTTATAAACATTCGAAACCTACTTTGAAAGAATATTTCCTTCGCCGATGGGATTTGAACCCAGCATCCCATTATGGTCGGGTTATTTAGTACTGGCCTAATGATAAAAATACGAATATTTGTCATTCAGAGTGGTGTCTGGACATATACAGATCACAGAATTTTCTGGCTACGAAAATCGGTGACAACGTTGTTGTTTTTTGTAATTGAAGAAAATCCATTTTTTTTTCGATATTCCAACGCAATTAGAAAAACGACATATCTTGTATGAACTATGAGTATTAACTTCGATAGCTATGTAGGTCCATAATAACGTCTTAAAATTTGGAAGCGATTGGATGGATTAATAGTTTTTGAGTTATCGCGACCGCCAATCGTAAAAATACTGTTTCGAGAAAAAAACGCGTTTAAAATTTGCCGTCGCTTGATGCTAGCACAATGAATGAAGGGCATATTTTCAAGAGTTGTTGACACAGCTGAGAAGTTGTCGGTTCATATTACATAAAAATAAAATAAACGGAACGTCACCACATGAATAGATTTGACGAAGAAACAAACAAACATTTTCTTTGAAGTGATTCTTCCACGAACAACTTTCGTTGGATTTGGGTAGACTTTGAAGACCCACACTGCCTTTTGTTGCTTTGGACTTGGACTTGCGGACACATAGATTAAGGATTCGTCTCCATTGAAAATCTTATATTAATTTTTTATTAGCATTTGTCTGCTACTTCTTTAGCAAATGTGGATTATTATTATTTTAAAACACAATTCACGACCATAATTATAGTGCCATTTAATACTACGAATTAGCGAAACTACCTCCATATCTCTACACTACACACCAATTCTGACCGCAACAGAAATCTAGCTCTATACCAAATTTTATATAATTTATTACTCTTTGTACTATTGTAATACTTAGTTCCAAAAAAATCCAAATTTTTATTTTCAAATATAGGTTCACCCAAATCCAAATTTGGTACCAGTTAAAACACAATAATAAAAATATCTATAACTACCTACTTTAGCAATCATAAGTACGAATTTCCAAAACTTCCCGACTTAATTCTAAATGTCTGGATTCCAGATCTCTCGGTTCACCTAAATCCAAATTGTATCCAATGGAAATCTCTTTACCCAATTTCAGGATTCCAGCTCTCTATCGCTTCATTCTAAATGCAAATTGTACCAAATTTAGTGCCGTTTAGTACACATTAGTAGATATTTCCAAAACTTACTACATACCCAACAGTGATCCTAACTCCAAATTTCAGGATTTCAGCTCTATTGGTTCACGCAAAATTCAAATTGTAACAAATTTAGTACACATAAGTACGAATTTCCCAAACTACCAACATTCCTCACTTCTACAAAGCAGTAGTAAACTAATTTCAAAATTTTCGTATTCCAGCCTTATCGGTTCACAGAAATCCAAATTGTACCAAATATAGTACCATATAGTACCATTTAGTACTTTTCGTAAACATGAGTACAAATTCCCAAAACAAGCTACATATTGATATCCTACACTCCGACAGTAATGTGAAGATTTCAAATTCCAGTTCCATCCGTTTGTCCAAATTCTAATTGTACACAATTTAGTACGGTTTAGTACTTCTCGTATACATGAGTACACACTTTCAAAACCACTTCCTGTATTCGCATTCCAAATTTCAAGTTTTTAGCTCTGTACCTAATTTAGTACATTTTAGTACTTTTCGGAAACTTATAGAAAACCCCTTTGCTACATCAGTGATCCTCATTTAAAATTCAGGAGTTTAAGCTCCACCGGTTCGCCAAATATGAACTTTTCGTGTCGTTATAGAACAATTTCCAAAAACCCAGCCTTATCTGACACCTTTGGATCAAGAGTGACTCTCACCCCAAATTTCAAGATCCTAGCACCAGCCGTTGGCGTTGATGAATCGTTAATTGTAAAAATCGTGTAGGTTGTAAAATGATCTTCCCAGAAATTAATTAATTATTTTTTTTTTATTCTAAATTTTAAAATTTTCACATGTCGTTTTTTGTGGGAACACACACACAATGGCGTTTTAAAAATTCAACTTAAACCAGATTCTAAGCATTATCCTCTGAATAAAAAAAAATTGTAATACAACCAAGACTAAATAATGTTTCTCGACAACATAGCCGACAACCAAATAATTTCTAGGAGTACCCGAAAAGAAAACCTAATTTTTCAATTAAAACACAGTCTAATTTTTGTTTCAAGTATAGATTTCAAGGATTCACAGTAATTTGCCACAACAGTTCGCAGGAAAAAATCAAATAAACAATTACAAGAAATGTCGAACACGACCCTGCCACCCACCATCAGCCATGGCAAATGACAAATCTATGAATTCTTGAATTATTCTCATTAATTTATTTATTTTGAGAAATGTTTTACAAGGTTGTATTGTTTGTGCTATGAACAGCTAGTCGTGACGTTAATGACAGGACTAAGAAGGAGGCATGGGAAAGGTATTTAGCGAAAATTAGACATTATCAGGAATTGACTGGAGGCAATTACATCGGTATACAGCGGGGAGGTTATATTTGATTTTGTTTAATTGTTGTGCGAATATAACAATATAGAAGGAGATACATAACCTCAAATTTAAATTAGCAGGGAAATCTTTGATATGACAGATAGCTGTGTTTGCAAAGCATGCGTAGAGGCCTCAATATAATTGGAGTCAAAGTACATGTGTAAAACAGATATCATATTAAGGCATTATAAAATAGACAAAAGGATAAATAAGCCTACGATTATGCAACAGAAACAGGGTTACAAATATGACCAGTAAAAAAATATTTTATTTAATCCTGTGATATCCCATTAACATTCGTATTCGTTTCCATGTTTTTTTTTTTTTAGTGGTCGTGAAGCTCGAAATCGTGCGGAAAAGAATAGACGCGATAAACTCAATGGCTCAATACAAGAACTCTCAACAATGGTGCCACATGTTGCAGAATCTCCGCGACGAGTCGACAAAACGGCCGTTCTTCGTTTCTCCACCCACGGGTTGCGTCTTCAATATGGTATGTAATGGCATTCAATTTTTAATCTGAATTTTAATATTAATATTAACTCTTTCTTTTTTTAGTATTTGGAAAAAGCCTTAACAATGAATCGGTTCAAACCACCGATGCCCTCATGAAATTATTACAAAGTTTCTTTCTGACAATAACGTGTAGCGGTCAAATTGTATTGGTCTCAACGAGTATAGAGGAACATTTGGGTCATTGTCAGGTGGGTAAATAAATTCTATTGCAGTAAAATAGAAATTTCTAATTACTATTTTTTTCGATTTTCATTTTCAGACGGATTTATATGGCCAGAATATTCTCCATATAACCCATCCCGAAGATCATCAAATGTTGAAGCAAAAACTCATACCCACAGATCTGGATGCTCTATTCGATATACAACCTGAAGATGCAAATGGTGAACCCAGACAACGAACTAAGGCTGAAGAAGATGAAATCGATCGTCGATTAAGAGAAGATCGTCGTAGTTTTACCGTTAGGTAAGTAATTTTCAGATAAGCCGTCACGAAATATGCGAACTCATAAGAAATATATCAGGCTTCATGTTAGAAATCCAAAACCGGATCTTATTATATTTCTGATCTTATTAGATGCATTCCAGTATAAATATCTAAAAGGCGAATATTTATCAAAAGCGTCGATTATTGTTCTGTTAAGGTCTCTTACGCATGGGTCCACGATTCGTCACCTGCGACAATTTTTAAGTTTATTTTTTTTAAATACGGCGATTATATTTGTCAGCATTTTGGTAGCGATATCAGAACATTTGTTCCATATCCCAGACTAAAAAATATTTCCAAGAACTTGAGCCCAGTTTTTCCAATTTGAATGGTCATGCTTCGAAATATTATCTTTCACTTGATCTGTCGATTGAATTACTAGCCTTCCTATTCTGCTTGAACCATATGGAGACTCGATGGGACATCTTTGTCCATTCTCACAACATGACCTAGCCACCACAGTCGCCATTTACTCCTAGAATCACTTTGGCAGACCCCTATTTCCAATCTGTTAAATTGCGTCAGTTTTTCAGGATTTATGATAATAAAATTCCTTATTACAGATATTTTCCAAAATAATCGAAAGGTGCTCCATACATGGTATTAGTTCTCAATGATAAGAATCTTTTTTATATTTTTTTCTTCATTTATGAACTGGATAAACTATTCCAAGGAATCGCCTTATCCCTCCATTTTGAAACGAATAATGATACAACCTATCTAAAATCTCATTTCCTCCTTTTTAGGTTGGCAAGAGCTGGACCACGTTCAGAGGCTACCACATATGAATTGGTAAAAATCGAAGGTAGTTTTCGGCGCAGTGATATGGCTCCCAGGGGCCTAAAAACCAGTACCTTTCCCTCAACCCTGCAACTAATGCGTCGAAGGTGTGGCCGTGAGGACATGATGCCATTTCATACGATAAGTGGAAATGATATTGTAAGTCCCGGATCAAATATTTTTAAAACCATATATTTTACCTGAATTTTCTTCTTGTCAATAGGTTTTAATTGCCATAGCAAGAATTGTTCGACCACCGGTCATCAATCCTCTAATAGAGGCCAATCGCTTGGAGTACAAAACACGTCATCTGATTGATGGTCGGATTATTGACTGTGATCAACGTATTAGTCTGGTAGCTGGTTATATGACCGGTGAGGTACGAAATCTAAGTCCATTCACATTTATGCATCAGGACGATGTGCGATGGGTAATTGTGGCGCTAAGGCAAAGTAAGTATTTCCATTAAAGAAATATATATCAAATTGAAATGGCTAAAACCTTCATTTCTTTCAAACAGTGTACGATTGCAACAGTTCATATGGTGAATCTACGTATCGACTCTTTACCCGCAATGGAAAAATTATATATCTCCATACCAAAGGATTCCTTGAGATTGACAAGAGCACCAACAAGGTACACTCATTCATTTGTGTAAATACTCTGCTGAGCGAGGAGGAGGGCAAGAAACGTATCGAACATATGAAAAATAAATTCTCTGTGATTATTGATGCAAAAATACCGCAATCATTCTCCGAGGTGCCGGCCTTGGAGAATCCATTGCAGCTGGAAAAGGCAGTTTTGTGTCTGATACAAAATTTACAACATCCCAACACGGATGCCGATGATGTGGACAGCGAAATGAATGCCCATACCTCTCAAAGGGCCAACTATCACAACAATTATCAGAATTCAAATTCCCATCATTCAATGTCGGCTAATCATATGGGCCGTTCGTCAAAAACGCCACCATTGGCATTGGTACCACCCGGTGCAGATTCCATAAAGCATTCGATAAATAAAAGTGTTTCTGTTGTCAAAACAATTGGTTGTATAACCCAGACAAATGATTCAATGGCAGGTCAACGGGGCAATAGTGGCGGTGGTGGTGGTGTGGATGATAATGGTTGTGGAGGAAGCTCTACCAGTGGTGATAGTCGCCGTTATTCCAGCAATATGGATAGTGATGAATATTCACCAAATGGCGATCATCAAACTGGATTATCCTACACGAACTCAGGTGGTAGTGCCACAAAAAGAAAATTGAATTATTCCACATCGGAAAATGAAGATGATGATGATTATGGTCCACCAGTGCAACGAAGAGGTATGGCGAAGGAGATAGTAATGGTGCTTAAGATCTGTATATAATATGTGTTTGTTTGTATTTTAGCCACAGAAAATCGTTTAGCAGATCCCGCCCAACAAATCGACAATGATTTCAATGTACAGCATAGTGCAGCTATGAATAATGGTATCACATTCGGTGAAGATCGCACCTCTGGAGATATGGTAAGTGAAAAAATGACAGATAAATCGATGTGTAATAGTAAAAATGAGCCATGAACCGGAAACAATGCAGAAAACTAGTCGGATGATCATCCCTTATAATTATCCAAGGGTCTCACATTTTTCCTTGGTCAACCAGTGTTAACATAGGTATATTTTAAGAGCAAAGGTCAACGGACTGTTTTGACATCCGTTAAAATCACAATAAATCTCGAATTTCCGTTTGAATAGCTGCAATTGGACATACCGTCTTCTCAGAGGCCTCCTCGTTGTAATTTTTAATTAGATAATATTAATCCCTTTAAGCTTCAATACATTTTTTCCAGCCATAGTTGCTGAAATCAATAATTTAGCAATTCGGCAACAATTTAACATTTCAGGCTTACTTTGTCTGTCCATGTTTTGGCATCCATTTGGGGTTTTGAGGATTCTAAAAGTTTTTTTTCAACCGAAGTGGCATTACGACCTTTCAGAAAATAGAAAAAAATCAATGTTGGCACTATTTGTGCAAGTTTTGATATAGCGGGCCCGACTCATATTATGTATTTTAAATTCAAAACCTCGGTTCGAACTAATGGACGTTCTTGCATGATTTTTTGTTAATAAAAAAATCTCTATTTTATTTTATTATATTTTTCAGATTTCCGATAATCAGCAAGAAGACTTCTACTTAATATCAGATGATTTGGAAAATGAGTTTCAAAACCAAGAAAGGTTTCTCAATGGCAATGGTGACATCGCCGAAGGACGATCTGATGATGAAATAAATTTCAATAATTCAATGGCACCGAATCAAACATCCCCAAACCCGCCCGAAACAAGTTATACATCCTCCTCCTCCTCTCCGCAGAAGGTCACCGAAAGAAGTGCCGAAAATAATTAGAAAAATATGAATAACATACAAGTACAAACAAAAACAACTACAACAGCTGGGCAAGTAATTATGAATATTAGACTTAAAAAAAAACTAGCAGCAACAACCTGCCGAAACCATCCACACATCCCCATTGGAGGATGGCATTTAAAACAAAAAAAAACGGTTTCATATTAACTGCTATTATTGTTTATGTTTAATATGAAATTTTAATCAAATATTAATGTAGAATGCAAATGTCATCATTATTCGAAAAAAAATCCACAACAACAACAAATAGAAAAAAAAATATTGAATGTTTTATATACATAAAAATATGAAATTGTGTGAAGAAAATAATTTAAAATGGTTTTTCATAATTTTAAAACTTGTCATAAGATCATTGGTCTAGAAAAACAAAAAATAAATAAACAAATAAGTGTTTTTAAACAAAATATGTATATGACTGGATCCGATTAAAAACAAACATTAGAAAAAAGACTAACTCAATTAAGCAAGCTGTTGCAATAATTATACTTTTGTACATAAACAAACAAAAAAAAAACAACCACTAGTTAAGAAAGAATGTTATAATGTAAATAAAATATAGTATATATTTATACATAGTTAGTTTTATAAATGTATATATACAATAAGAACTAAAATGTTACTGAATATAGTTACTAATGGTGCAATTTACACATAACAAAATACAACAACAACAAATACACCATTATTATAAAAATTGGCTTAAGAAATTTTAAAAAACAAACTGTTTTAGAAATTCTGTTTATTTATATTTGCCATAAAGACAAAAAATATACAAACACACACACACACTGTGCTACAAAATTACAATAAACTTCAAAACTTTACAATAAACTTCAAATTTGAAAGATATTTTTAGATACTAGTCGACAGATTTTGTTTACAATTGAATTTTCTCACATTAAATTATGCTGTCATAAATCGGGAATATTTATATTATTTTATTTGTAGTTAAAAATAAATAATTTAATTTCTTTTTTATATTTAAAAATAAATTTATTTTTATTTTTAACACATGTATTAATAATTGAATTGCTGACGATCAATAATTGAAATGAAATTCCTATTAAATTATAAACTAAATTAAATGAATATGGGCTTGTTAAAAGTCTTATCCAAACGTTAATTATATTGGAATTGAAATCTGAAAAGCTAGGCCATAAAACACCGGAATTGTATTGCTATTATTTTAGTGAAGGATATTTTTCGAGAGAGAATGTGACTCAAATAGTCTTGACATTGATTTCACCATAAGAATCTATTTTTCTTTACATACAAACTTCTTAATTAATCTCCATTTAAATTAGAATCGGCTTTCTAGTGAATTACCAATCCAAACGAAAAAATTGTGAAGACACACACGAAACTCTTCAATGGATTTGTATTTGTTCATATACATGGCATAACTATGCCATGGTTCATATAGAAAGCACACAGACTGAAAATAAGAAGAATAAGAAGAAGCTAAGAGGTCTTCCAGGAGAACATAATTGTATCAAATGGTAATTTTTATTGACTACCATGAGGCTTGATTTTGGTCTAATGAAATTAGGCACTGTAGCCGACCATTTTTAAATTTATTATATAAAAAACCTAAAGTGCCGAATCGATTTTGCCTCCTCCTTCATGCACAGTGTAACATTGAAAAATGTTTGGTTTTAAGTGTCAGTTACATTATTCAAGTCCAGAAACCCGTCACAACAGGAGAGATATTTTATGGAATATTCTTTGGCGACGATTAAACCATGACTGAACAAATGTCACTGTTGAGAATGTACACAGTCGAAATCGCTTAAACCGACACCGTATAACCAATTACTATTTATAAAAGACTACATTTCCATAGGCCATCCTATATATACATATATTGAAAATATAATATTTGGAAGAAAAGATTTGAATTTCCAAACCCATATCTATACATACCGATTTAAATAATTCTCTCTTCAGTGGTTGAGGTTTCAAAATATTTTCAATTTGATAACAGTCTGGTACAAGTCGACAAAAATTGTCGCAACTTTTATAGAGACCTACATCTTGTGTGCCTTGAAAATCTATGTAAAACTGCATTTTTAGAATTTTCAATACACCCTCAAAATCTGAAGTTATGGCCAAAAAACAGTTTTTCTTTTTGTGTTTTTGTAAACAATCTGCAATATCTCCGCTAAAAAAATTGATTTGCATATTTTTTGATTTTACTAGGAAGAGGAAAGATAGGCCTATCCAACGGTATTTTTTATTGAATTTTTAGTAAAAACTGATAAAACGGCAGATGAACGAAATTCAAATTTTCAACTTTTTTAAAATCCTCCAACTTTGAGGCAATTTTTGCGCCATTGTTTGTTCAAGGACCTATTCTTGTAACACATTCAAATAACAGCAAATTTAACTTGGCGTCGAATGAATTCTTATTGATTCCAATTAGTTAAAAACTGTGCAAGCGGGTGCTATTTTAAGATTTTTTTTGTATACTTAACTTTTTTCTTCTTGCAAAAAATTAATTTTTTTCATATGCCACAAATTCTTAAAATAATCCCAACTTTGGTATTGTTCATCCAATTTTATTTTATTTATTTTATCATTTTGAAAGTTGTTAGTAAATAATTTTGTGTACAAAAATAATAAAATTGTGACAGAATAAAAAAACAACTGAATCTACGACTCAAAATGCAATTTTTTGGACAAAAATCGTTTTTTTGGAATAGTGATTGAAGAGTTTGCCATACACTAGTCAATCTCACATATACAAAAAGGGGTTCATTTGGAAATCCATTGCCATGATTTATAGTGTATGGGGCCCTTAAAAAATAAAATAAATTTTTGACTTATTGGTTTCACATTACTCTCTTTTAGGAAAATACAAAATCATGAAATCATTCGATTTTATAGGCCATATATCAATTTAACTTTAATATGTAAGCACAGTGTTACAAAAGATTCGAGCCAACACAAAAAGAAACACACACACACACCATGATATTAAAAAGAAATAATAATTCAATGTCAACGATTTCCAACAGCGAAAATGTTTAACTAGACATGTGATGGACTGGACCACATTGGGTGGCAGTGAATGTGTATAAACTTTGTTTAAATTTCCCATTATATAGGGATAAATTATTGTTATTCAAACCATACCTGCCCTCCACCATTCTATTCTAGATGTTCAAAAGAAAGGAAAGCTCATTATGTAATTTTTAAGAAGATAACAGTTAAGATAAAATATTATTTTATTTATTTTTTTAATTAATTAGAAAGAAGTATGATCATAAATAAAAATGCTGGTGTTACTATTAAAATTGATTGATATGACAGTTATAAATAAACAAAAAACAATTTAGTCAATATTACGTCACGGTTATCTCTACACCCTACACATTTGTTAATATTATTGACCAAGGTTTCACCCTAAATTCAATTAAGAGTTACAAAAGGCTGTATACAAACTAACAAACAAACAACATACTTGTGGATAAATTATACAACGTTACAAAACAAAAAAACTATACAAATTAATATATATAAAAATAAATAACAAACAAATGTTGAAAAACAAAATTAGCAGAATTTTTGCACAAAACGGTTGTGGCATCTAATTAAAGAAACAAAGTTTGCACTTACAAATTGGAATGTATTTTAGAGAAAAAGAAATTAGTTAATCAATAACAACAACAAAATAGTCATCTCTCTTTTCAATTTGAAAAAAAAAAAATTATTACTATTTAATGATTCATATGAGAAGAAATAAATTACTTTTAATTGTAACCGAATTAACATAAAGCCAATGTTACCAAATTAAAACAAAAAAAGAGAGATGCAAAAAGAAAAAAACATTAATTGTTCTTATTTTCAGCATAGTCAAAATTATGTTCTTTAACAAATGTTATTTGCAAGACCAATGTAAACAAATAATTACTACTACAGAATTTATTACTGTCCCAGACACTCGCAAAATATGGAAAGGTTAGCATAAATATAATTCTAGTTTAAGATATACAGAGAATACAGAAAGGGAAAAATACAAAAAAAAATAAAAATATAATATTTGTTAAAATATTTTTTTTTTCAATTGTACTATTATACTCTATTGATGTATACTCTTAAGAAATATTTGTATGTCGCGAAATGTATAAATATGTACAAGTGTTTTTGAGTTTAAACAACAAAATGCCCAATAACACTATTATTAAGAAAAGAAAATGCCATAAAAGACTGTTAAAATAATAAAAACAAAAACAATTACTAAATACAAATTAAAAAGAAAATAAATATTAAATGGAAAAAATGTTAAAAACTAATTAGATAATATACTATACTAACCAATTAAATGTACCTACTTACTAATAAAACACTAAAATAAACAAAACAAAAATGTTGGAAAATTATATATATATATATATATATATATATAGTTAATTATACATAGTTTTTAAACAAAACTGCATATAATTATTGTACAAATATTAATACACAAAAAAAACATATAAATAATTGTTTTATTATATTTTCTTTATAATTTCTGGGAAAATTTAATACTAAGCGAATACAATAATTTAAATAAACTTTTCACACACACAAACAAATCATTTCTCGATCTACATCTTTCTCTAATTTCACCACTGTCCCTCCATGTATAACTACTCTGAACCCTACACCCTCATTTCTGGGCGTTATATAGCATCAATGTAATTGTGTATGTTAAATGTTTTGCATTTGTTTTATTCTCTATTCAATATCTGCGAGAAATGAAATGTAAAAAAATGCCAACAAGAAAAAAGAACAGGATCATAAGAGATAATAAACTAATAAAAAAAGAGATATTAAACATTTTATACATTTATGAATAGATTATTTATTTTATCGGTAAGTACTAAAATATATTTATTTTTCAACATTATTTAATTTTAAAACAATGTCCCGTGTTCAAAGTTACTTAGGGTATCTGTTTGATCCAACGTTTTATCTGACGAAAACAAATTCAATATCGGTCCACTATTAAATATAACCCCAATATAACGGCATCCCCAATTATTGGTATTTTGAGGATTTCATAAACTTATTTCTAATATTTCTGTAATTTTATATTTTCCCCTCATATTTGGTGACGAATCTTCATTTCTAAAAAGTACTAATATCGTTCCATGATATTATCAGTAATTGAAAAATAGAATAATCCTTGCGAAAAAATTCTTCCTTTAAAAACCCACGGCTATTATCCTTAATAATCCTTGCGAAAAAAAATCTTCCTTGCGAAAAAATTCTTCCTTTAAAATTCCACGGCTATTATCCATAATAATCCTTGCGAAAAAAATTGTTCCTTCCGAAAAAATTCTTCCTTTAAAAATCCACGCCTATTATCCTTAATAATCCTTGCAAAAAAAATTGTTCCTTGCGAAAAAAATCTTCCTTTAAAAATGCACGCCTATTATCCTTAATAATCCTTGCAAAAAAAATTGTTCCTTGCGAAAAAAATCTTCCTTTAAAAATGCACGCCTATTATCCTTAACAATCCTTGCGAAAAAATTCTTCCTTTAAAAATCCACGTCTATTATCCTTGCGAAAAATTCTTCCTTTAAAAATTCACGCCTATTATCCTTGCGAAAAATTATTCCTTTAAAAATTCACGCCTATTATTCTTAACAATCCTTGCGAAAAAAATTCTTCCTTTAAAAATCCACGCCTATTATCCTTGCGAAAAAATTCTTCCTTTAAAAATCCACGCCTATTATCCTTGCGAAAAAATTCTTCCTTTAAAAATCCACGCCTATTATCCTTGCGAAAAAATTCTTCCTTTAAAAATCCACGCCTATTATCCTTGCGAAAAAATTCTTCCTTTAAAAATCCACGCCTATTATCCTTGCGAAAAAATTCTTCCTTTAAAAATCCACGCCTATTATCCTTGCGAAAAAATTCTTCCTTTAAAAATCCACGCCTATTATCAAAATATGGAAAAATTTAGTTTTTTTTGTCAAAATTCCCGAAAATTTTTTGTAATTTGTTTTTTTTTATTTCTATTTTTAAAGATTTTTTCTTTGGTAAGGATTATTAAAGATAATGGACGTCATTTTTGCTGAAAATTATTTTGGTTTTTCAAGGCCTAATTGCCAGGAAAATTTTTTGTAATTTGTTTTTTTATTTCTATTTTTAAAGAATTTTTCATAAGGATTATTAAAGATAATGGACGTGGATTTTTAAAGAATTTTTAAAAGGCCTAATAGGGATAATAGCGTGGATTTTTAAAGAATTTTTTCGCAAGGGTTATTGAGGATAATAGTCGTGGATGTTGTAAAGATTGTTTTTCTTAAGGATTATTAAGGATAACAAACGTGGATTTTTTAAAGATTTTTATTCTAAAGAATTATAAAGGATAATAGGCGTAGATTTTTAAACATGGTTTTTCTTAAGGATTATTAAGGATAATAGGCGTAGATTTTTAGACATTGTTTTTCTTAAGGATTATTAAGGATAATAGGCGTGGATACTTTAATGATTTTTTTCGCAAGAATTATTAAGGATAATAGTCGTGGATACTTTAAAGATTGTTTTTCTTAAGGATTATTAAAGATAATAGGCGTGGATTTTTAAAGAATTTTTTTCGCAAGGATTATTAAGGATAATACAATTTGTATTTGGCGAACCGGTAGGGCTAGAATCAGGGTCAATGTTGGGGTGTAAGATTGAGATATGTAAGAAGTTTTAAATATTTTTTTCTAATGTATACCAAATTTGGTACAATTTAAATTGTAGGTGAAGCGATAGAGTTGGAGTCCTGAATCTTGGATTTAGGATCAATGTGGAGGAGTAGGGTTAGGTTAAATAGGAAGTTTTGCAAATTCGTACTACTGTGTACTAAATTTGGTACAATTAAAATTGTAGGTGAAGCGATAGAGTTGGAGACCTGAATCTTGGATTTAGGATCACTGTGGGGGTGTAGAATTGGGGTATGTAGGAAATTTTGGAAATTCGTACTACTGTGTACTAAATTTAGTACAATTTGAATTGTGGGCGAACCCATAGAATTGGAATCCTGAAACTTGGAATTAGGATTACTGTGGGGGTTTAGGTTTGGTGTAATCAGGAGATTTTGGAAACTGGTACTACTGTGTACTAAATTTGGTACAATTTGAATTGTGGGTGAACCCATAGAATCCTGAAACTTGGATAAAGGATAACTGTGAGCAATAAAATAATATGTTAATACATGTTTAAATATATCCCACCTTCGCTAACGAAGTAGCGGGTATATGCTAGTGTAATATAAAAAGCCAATATGACTAATAACTTATATTAATTTATATAACAAAAAACCCAAACAATGTATAAACTAAATAAATTCAAAATACATAACAATCAGTAACTCTACAAAATCACACACCACCTTTTTAATTGTGGGGTTAACATTACACAGTGAATATCATTTCCTTCTGTTGTCGTATAACAGCTGATGGATGTGAGCTACCCTTAAATAACATAAATAAGTTAACTCGTCGCCTGCTGTGGCAGCTTGCTGGAGCAAACTGGACAAAATTTTGATGACATCGATTAATAGTGCTGAAGTTACTACATTTACCTTAATATATTGAACCCTTTTCAAACTATGGAATCACAAAGTATTTGTCGAATATGTATGCAGGACGGTATATTGATAGATTGGAATTGCTCTCTTCTGGATGACCTTTCATACAGGGACTGCTATTACAGATATACGCAATTGGACGAGATGGCATGTAAGCAACTTCATTGATATTCCAATCAATAAAGATATATTAAACAACTGTCCTAATCAGTTTCAGATACTTTGCCGCAATTCCTTTGCGAACTTTGTTCGGCCGATTTAAAAAAGTTCCATCTCTTCATTGAGAAAGCCATTGAGTCCCACAACATTTTGGAAACGAATTTACAAAATCAAATTGAAGCTGTCGACATTAAGAGCGAAAATGAACAGGAAATTGAGTGTGTTTACATGATAGAACCATGTTATGAAGGAATACCAACCGCAGATTGTGAAGTCGAAGCAAAAACTGAAATTGAATTTATGCCTGAAGAAACAAATGAAAATATACAGACGCAAGATGATGATGTCGACGAGCAATCCGATGGCACACTAACCGATGACGTTATGGAAGATGAAGATTACATAGGAAGTAATGCGTACAACAAGGAAGTGAAAAAAGAAGACACAATATCAGAGGTTAAAGAAGAAAAACCCAAGAAAGCCAAATCACAATCCAAATTACCCGCTATGTGTTCGTATTGCTGTAAGTAATATACATACAGACATAAAAATATAGTCGATTGTTAGACAAATTTGTATTTTCCCTTTTCAGCAAAAATAATCCACAACGCCTCCTATTTAAGAAAGCACGAACAGACCCACATGGAATACAGAGAACGTGATGTAACTTGCCCCGAATGCGGCCTAAAAACCTATAGTAAAAAAACGTTATATGCTCATATGAAAATCCACGATAAAAATCGTGAAAGGAACTTTAAATGTGAATTTTGTGATAAGGCATTTTTTAATCGTGGTGCATGTAATGTTCATCGTAAAAAACATTTGGATGACAAGATGAAATGTCCATTATGTCCAAAGGAATATTACAGGCGAGTTGATTTAGATCGGCACATTCAAACACATTCCCATGCCCCACTACATTCCGACAAACCTAAGGTATGCCTGTGAAATTATTGGAAGTAGCGATGCGATGATGATTTCTGTTATTTCCTTCTAGTCGAAACTTAAATATTTCATCCACTGTAAGGAATGCAATCAAGATATAGTCAGCCATAAATTTACCGCACACCGGGCTAAACACTTGAATGAACCTTTGATGCGCTGTAAACTTTGTGAAAAGGATTTCTTTTGTCGTATATCGTAAGTTAAAAAACATCCTTGAGTTAAATGATGTTTTATAGTTTTTTTTTTTCAGCTGCACCCGTCACATGAAAAGAGTTCATAAGAAAACTTATGATAACTATGACGATATAACTATATATTATGAAAAATATAGAGCGCGTCTACCACATGCCTTATTGTTACAACAAGGGGATATGGAAGCAAAGGAATGTACATAGAAAAGCTTTTTTATTATTAAACTAAGTTATACAAAATATATTAAATTACATATAAAAACCAAAATTTTGTATTTTGTGGGATTGTTTTTAATACTTATTTTGAAGGAATGTTGTGTAGTATGTGGTGTTTTATTTTATTTTTTTTTTTTTTTTTTGGAATTCTTGCCTTTTGTTATTGATTTTTGGAATTGAATAAAACATAACCTTGAAAAAATATATTTTAAGAACCGTGAATTATAAAATAATATTTTTGAAACACAATGAGATTGTTTGTGAAGTTGTAGATAAAACTCATCAACCTGGATCTTTAAAGAGTATTTTTGAATTGTTGAAATAAACAAATTATATTTTTGAAGTTGTGGGGTTCTGTAATTTTTTTTTATTTTACACATTTTGTTTTAAGATAACAATGTTTAAATTATGTACAAATGCAAGACAGAGTAGCTACTCTGTCTTGGGTATCACTTCCTCCTGTTGAACCAGTCTTTTATATGACAAACGCATACGGTATTTTTCATAATACATGGTAATATCCTCATAATTATCTTTTGTTCGTTTGTGAACATTTTTCATGTGGTTGGTACATCTATTAAATCATAAAAAGAACAATAAAGACTTCCAAATTAAATAAACCCAAATATGCTTACGTCTTCCGGCTGAAAAAATCCTTTTCACAGAGAGTGCAACGTGCCAGAGGTTGATTTAAATGTTTAGCTCGATGTTCATAAAACTTTCGACCTTCTACGTCCTTATCACAATCTTTGCAGTGGACTAAATGTTTTCTTTGTCTTGGCTAAAAAGAACCGATTCTGAGTTTAGAGTTTGTTTTACTATTTTTAGTCTTAAGCATACCTTGATAGGTATTAAAGGAGTGCCAGAGTGCGATTTCATATGAACATCAACATCAACTTGCCGTGGAAACTCCTTAGAGCATATTGGACATTTAACGCATTGTCCTAAATGAATTCGGCGGTGTATATTACAGGCACCACGTTGGAAAAATGCTTTGTCACAGAATTCACATTTATATTTCTTTTCGCGATTTTCATTATGGCATTCCATGTGCGAGCGTAGGCTTTGTTTGGTGTATGTTTTATAGCCACATTTTGGGCATGTCACTTCTCTTTCTCGAAATTCTTGGTGTGTCTGTTCGTGCCTTTTCAAGTAGTTGACATCATGGATTATTTTCGCTGAAAATAAATATGAATTATTATATTTTTCATTTCATATGAAAAAATATAAATTTTACAGCAGTAAGAGCACATGACAGGTTTTGCAGGCCTCTTTTTTGGTTTGGCTACTTTAACAATATTTTCATTGGCTTCATGTGGCTCTATGCTAACGACATTGTTTTCTGATTCGAAATCTTCTTTCCCACTTGCTTCATTATTCCGATTAACTATGAGCGCCCCATCACCACATTCCTGATCTTCATTTGGTACCGGCACCATCAACATTTCATCAACATTTTCATCTTCAGAAAGTGCTTTTTCTCCGCAATTGTCTTTTCCTAAAATCATTTCATTTTCGATATGTAAATTTGGTGTAGCTTCACGACGCTCCTCTACATCTTCTATTAATTCATATTCTACGTTATCATCTTTAGTTAGTTCTTCTATGGAATCTGTTTTCAAGTTTGTCTCAATATTTTCCTCAATGATATCATCTTCGGAATGCAACTGCGATTCTATCTCTTCTCCAGTATGTTCGTCATATTGCATACTGCGTGTAGTACTTCGTAGGAAAATAGCTTGTGCTGCGATTGCTTTCTCAATGAAAAGATGAACCTTTTTCAAGTCAGTGGAACAATATTCGCACAAATATTTGGGTAATGGATCTGGAACTAATGTGGAACTTAATAAAATTCTTTAAAATTTGAATGTTAATTTGGCCTTGTTGATCTCCGCAATCTGGATGTACTTGTAATAGCAGTCCTTGTATGTTATCCTATCACCATCACTGAAGGAAAACAACTTACTATTCCAGTCCAAGAGTAGGGAATTTTGCATGCATATCCGACATATTGGTTGTTCCTCCATTACTCTTAAAATAAATTGTCTATATAAAATATGTTACGAATTGCAAGTGTTTGCCAACAAATTTAAAAACAAATGTTTAAATCGGTTCAGATGCAGTACAAGTTCGAATTCGTCTGTCTAATCTACAGGCCTCAAATGGGCTATGAATGAAATAATCAAAGATATTGAAACAGTAAAGACTTGACAAAATAGTTTATTAAAACACATCTAGGGGGCATCAAGCATAACAGAGGAATGTTAAGAATAAAAAATGGAAAGTGTACCGGTCAAGGTATATTTAATAAGGTAGCCGCATCGGCCCAGCTGTTGGACAAATAAATGTCAAAAATGTTGTTGTAATGTTGAACCAAAAAATTAAAAAACAAAATTATAAATGAAAATCTCCGAATTTCGAAGAGCTTTTTTGGCAATACTTTTATTAACATTTTCTACAAGAATTTGTGTAAAAAAATCTTGTCAATCTATTTGTTTTGGCAAAATATTTTTGACATATCAAAATACAACAACCGATGTTTGTTGTAGAAATTCGCCGATGCGGCTACCTTGTATATCTACCTTGGTACCGGTCATACATGCATGACATACATTTTGTGGTGTTAGTGAAATTTCTTATGTATGTGTAAAATCTACGATGCGTGAAACAAAATCAAAATTTTTCTCATGCACGACCATGGTCCAATAAAGAGGTACGTACGTTTAATAGTACGTTTACTTTGTAACGGATTTCGTTAACCCAATGGGTTTCTATTGTCAATTCCATTGTATAGATGCCAACTAAATCCTCATAGGGTAGGTAAACCTGGTATAAAGTTCAAATGTAAATGCCGTTTAAGAGGAGAAATTTGGTTGGACATCCTCCAAACTGTCAAATTTTTTGTTTACTTTTTCATACGATTAATGCGGTGTACACACTAGCATTTTTGAATGACACTCTTGCCCAAATTTTGCTTGTTTGATAGTGTGGCCTCACATGTTTGTCATTCATCAGGCAACCACAAAAATATTTATGGTTGTTGGACAGTCAGTAATCGATAAAAAAGCTGTCAGTCAAAAATGATAGTGTGTACACCGCTTAAGTCAAAATTGAATGCATTTTGACAGCTCGGGTGAAATCATCTGACCTTATCGGATATACTCATTTGTAACGTTTTTTAAAAGCGAATGGGTGTATAGAGATGTCCGATACTGAAACGGCATTTACATTAGAACTTTTTACCGGGTTAACCTTCTTTATTAGAATTTATTTGGCATATATTCAAAGCAATTGACAATTTAAACTGACTGGGTTAACTAAATCCTGTATAGTGTAAACGTACTATGAGAAAAAAATATTATTCAGTTATTAAAAGGTTGTCGGCCGTTGCCAGCACTTTTTTCAGCATTTTCTTTTCGTTCATGCACACATACACGAATTTAATGATTGTCGATGGTCCACTTTTATGCACACGTATACGATTTTTATGTCATGCCCGCATGACTGTCTACGGGGCACTTAAATAAAATCTGAAATCTGCATATATGTTTTCATTATTGGTCTGTTCCCGTACTGCAAGAATCTACTCGATTTTACTATTTTCTTCGATATCATAAAGAAAAATTCGTTATCGTAGTAAAAAGTAGTAGATTCTTGCAGTACGGGAACATACCATAGATAAGCTTGTCACATAGCACTTAAAACGTTTAACATTGTTCGCCATATAATGGTACGTTTACATTGAACCGAATTTCGTTAACCCAATGGGTTTCAATAGTCAACTTTCTACCAGGTTAACCTACTATATGAGGATTTATTTCACATATAAGCAATGAAATTGACAATTTAAACCCAGTGTAAATATATTATTACTTAACAACGTGGAAAACGTTGCGGAAGGATTTAGATGTGAAGACTTTCAAAAGACAGTGCCAGAATTGAAGAAGGCGAACAATCTTGGAAAGTTGGAGGGTGATCAAAAATTGAACTAACCTGGTGTTTACAAACGACTTTTTGTGTAGACAATAGCAAAGACACAACCCATTTTTTTATAAACGTTTGTCAATTGTTTAGAGACTGTCATAAATTTTTTATTATTAACATTATATAGCATAGTTGGGCAGACTTGCACACCAGCGTTGATGCGTTCTCTTAACATTTTTTGATGTTAAAACAAAAATAAACATTAATGCAATGTTTTCCAAATTTTTTTTAATGAATTTATTTTTTGAACTTCCTGGAATATTATTTATGCTTTAACAATATTAAATTTAATAAATTCCAAAGAATAATTCTTGTTTTTATTTTACCTTAAACATTTTTTAAAATAAATTTTGCCCACCATTGTTATATAGGGATGTAGTATTTAAGAAACATAATTGGTCTGTTCCTGTACTGCAAGAATCTACGAGTTTTTACTATTTTTTCCGATATCATAAAGGAAAAAATGTTATTGTAGTAAAAAATTGTACATTCTTGCAGTACGGGAACAGGCCAAATATTACACCTACTATCGATTCATATTATTACTCCATAATATTTTTCTGAACTTTATATGTTTTTTGCATTTTTTTTCTTTTTTTTTAAATTTCCCTGCATCAGTTGTATTCACTGGAAATGTGCACTATGTAAACAATATACAAACCATATGATTGAGAATCATGGCATCAGCAGTTGCATCGATATGTTCGATAATCGAATTTGATGTGTGGCCACACCGAACGATTGGCTTGTGTTTCTTGTCGTGTTGTGTATCAAAGAAGAAAAAAGTTCCAGTTGCAATTGTGTTTGCGCTTTCAAGGAGAAAATAAATTATTTTTTTCATTTCGTTAAATAAATTTCTATAGTTTAAAAAAAGGAACAAACATTTTATTTTCAAAAAAAAAAAAAAAAAAAAAAATACATTTCCAAACCAATAGACAAGACCAAAGAAATTGCAATAGTCAAAAATTGTATTGAAAAAAAAAGAATATGTAAAAAAGTACAAAACTAAGCAGCGACCACAACACAATACACACACCATTACATCAATACTGAGCAGCATTGCATACTGGCACTGGCAGAAAGGAGAAGACGCTTTTGAATTTCGCCTTGTTGACAAACGAATTTCCAATTTTTCTCGTTCTTCTTTTTGTTTGGTTGGAAAAGTCTTAACAAGGAAAACAAATTCAAGATGAGTTCGGTAAGTTTGGGAATTTGGTTGACAATGGAAAAAGTTGGATAATTTGTGTCTGTGATGCGAACGAAGATAGTATAACATGATGCGTTGTTTTTTGGAGTGTAGGAAAGGGGATCTTTCTGTGATGCTGTTTAACATATTCTTGTCTTTTTCAATTATTAAAAATCATTGGAAAACAATTTATTTTATTTTCAATTTGGATTCTGTAAAGAAATTAGTTCATAGTGTCTTTTTTATGGCAAAGGCAATACGCAGCTATTTCCTATTTCATCTAATCTTCCAGAAAATTCCACAAGACGTAATGGATATACAGTTCACCCCATTCTATAACACAACCACAATGACAAATATTTTTCAATACCTTTCAAGACAGTGTCGTATCTAAAAAACCTAAAAATCCAATATTGTATTCAATATGAAGGGGGAGAACAGTCCAATATCTGGAATGTGTGCATTGTTTACGTACAATATTCGCGCGGAGGAGTACATTCTCGTTATTATTTTAAGTCTTTCTTTTTCCAAACGCAAATTGACAATTTCCTTCTATTCTCACAGATCTCAAATGTTGAAAACCTATCACCACAAACCATACGTCAAGTTATGAAGGAAATGCAAAGTATGGTAGAAACGCCCCTGGAGGGTATTAAAATACAAATAAATGATGCCGATGTTACCGATATTCAGGCATTAATTGAAGGTCCAGCTGGTACACCATATGCCGGTGGTCTGTTTCGTGTAAAACTGACATTGGGCAAGGATTTCCCCCAAGCGCCACCCAAAGCCTTCTTTATTACGAAAATTTTCCATCCGAATGTGGCAGCAAACGGTGAGATTTGTGTCAACACACTGAAAAAGGATTGGAAACCAGATTTGGGCATCAAACACATACTACTCACCATCAAATGCCTTCTCATTGTTCCAAATCCTGAATCGGCTCTTAATGAAGAGGCCGGAAAATTACTGCTCGAACGTTATGATGATTATTCACAGAGAGCCAAAATGATGACTGAAATTCATGCACAGGTAATGCCAAGTTCAAATTGCTAATCAATTATTTTATCATCTAAATAATGTTTTTTTTTCATTTTACAGACCGCCAAATCTACCGATGCCAAGGATGATGATGGACCAAGTTCAAAGAAACATGCCGTTGACAAGAAATTACAAGACAAAAAGAAGGAGAAATTAATTAAAGAAAAGAAACGCATGCTGAAGCGATTATGAGTTTTTTTGCTTCATTGATTGAAAAGTGCAAAACGACTCCTTTCACCAACAACTAGCAGAAGAGTGCGCGCTGTCAATGAAACCTTTTGTGTGCGTTATATTTTCTTTCGGATTTTCTAAAAACAAAACACCTGTATCTTTAGCATATCTCATTCATCATGTCATTAACTACTACAATCTGTATTTTCGTATATCTGATCTTAATTTGATTTTGATAACTTTTCCACTATTTTTTCAACTATGTCTATTCATATACAACACAACAAATGTTTTAAATTAGGTTTTATTTTCTTTTCCATAAATCCTTTAATTTTCCACAATTCACACACATCGTTTTACATTTATTTTTTTATGTTTTCATGTTAGTTTTACGTATACACTCAAAAAATAAATATAATTTTAAATTATCATTAGAAAATATTTGTTTTTATTTAATATTGTAAAGAGCGTTGTTCTTAAAAACGGGGCAAAACTAATAAGTTACTCCATTATTACAAAAATAATATGTAGTAGTTATAAGAATTATATATTATGTCCTGATAACCCATAAATTCATTTTCCTTTTTGATATTATTTTATGGGTAAAATATTGATGTTATAGAATGATGCTAAATATGGCACAGATTTCTGGTGAAATTTATATGTATCATCAAAATCTTTTGTTATAATTAATATTCTATTTGTTATTAAAATTAAGCAATGGAATGTGAACGCCACAGTTTAAACCATTTATAGAATTTCTATATATTATTGATTTATAAATTTTCTGCAATTAAAACAATCTAGCGACTAAACAGCAACAGCAATTAAGAAAAGGCCATTTATTATTTTTTTGTGGAAAAACATAGAATTTTGTGGCTTTGTTTGCTGAAATCTTGGCCAAATAAATATGGCTCGTCGAATACAAGTGTAGAAATTATTGTTTCATTATAACAATTTGAGACTTATATGAATTTTGTACGTTGGCGTTTTGGTAAAGTCTCTGATTGAGTGGTGAAGTGCTGCTGTGCTGTTGTTACTGTCTTTGATTGCTTTGTTTCGTTGAACATAAAATTGTCAACAATATATGTACATAATTTGATAATGACAGTGGGACGTTGAAGTGCATAATGAAATGGTTTAATGGATAAAATATGCATTTCAACCAGTAGTACATGTACTTTTCACTCCATCTGTTTTCATGATTAGTTATGGTACTTGGGCGCACTGAAGTCCGTTAAAATAATTTTCTCAGAATGCGCTACAAAACACTTTTGAAGTGTAAAAAAAATGTATAGGATAATATTTTAACACTTAGTGATAACGCCTAGATTTAGTTTGAGGGAAGATTGTGTTTTTGTTTGGTAGAGTGAAAAATTGACTTATTGGGAACTAAATGAACTTTTGCAGAGTTCTTTGCTTTTCTTGAAAGTAGATAATATGATAACCGAATAAATCGAATAATTTAATTTATTTCACATTTTGGTAACCAAGCTAATGTAGTCGTATAAAGGATAAATATCGACAAATAATTTGTTCTATTACAAGATGGTATGGGAAAATGGCACATATAACCATCGAATTTCAGTTCAATTTTTAATATTTCATTTAAAATCAAAATTATTTCAGTATTCGTTTAGAGTTTTTGAATATTTGAATATTTTTATTATGAAGCTAGGAGATTATAGAAGATAAAACAACCACTAAATACGAGATTTTATAGACATTTACCGATATAACGGTAGTTTTATAACAGTAATGTTGTTGTAGCAACCCTTTTGCTTTTGCACAATGGGCTGACAGACGTTGGCCGAAAAAGACTCGGGTCGTTACGGATCGTAGACCCCTCTATCGTGGAAACGTTTAACAATGAGGTTGACATTTTTGGGTTAATATCCACGAAGGGACGTTGCCACAGTATTCGATTAGGGGGATCTTATAAAAAATGACAATAACACATTTATTAGCGGATATTTATTTTTTCCTGTAAGTTTTTCTGAAATTTAAATACAGATTTCCTACTATTAAATCTAATTGTCCGCAGTTTTTATTTGGATAAATGCATAATGTAAAATCTACTATTTCGATCTATTATATAAACAGTTTTACAAAAATTGCATTAGATATTGCCATGTCATGAAATATTTTCAGATTGATTTGACGTTGCATATGGGCACTGCCGCAGTCACTTACACGACTTTCAGAGGCAAAATCAAATTTTAAATCTTAAATAAATCGAAAACTATTACATTTTTTACAATTCTCCCATAATACTTTTTTTGTAGAACTTTAGGAGTACTATCAGTGGTAAAATAATTAAGAGCCTCCAATATCTAACTTTTGAGATAAAAGCCACAAAAAGCGGTCACTCACGCGACTTCAAATATACATGACTTTAGACATCACTGCAAATAGTGGGAAAACTCTGCAAATTGTGTGAATATTTTGAACTTTTTATATCCTTTACATGAATAAGAGATGTCAAGCTTTATTATTGCACTTTCAAAATTTGGCATATCCTTTATTTGCGAAGGATTTTTCTCGGTCACTCACATTTGATTTTGCTGTTTTTATTTCTGCAGTCTGTGTATTTATAGTCATTAAATTAATATTTATGCTAAGAACAAGAAGAAAAAATGACAAATGCGGCCTTTCTTTGTATTTTTTGTCTTTACTTTACGTATTTAAGAACAATTAAAGAAACAAATTCTTCGACTTTGGGTTACCTTTTTGCGGAAGTGCCCATATATATATATGTATATGGAGAACTAAAGAAGAAGAAGAAAATAGAAGCCCATCTATTTGACGGTAGTCCTGATCACAGCTCACTGGAACATCGGCAACCGAAAATTCCAACGGGATTAGAAATAAGATTCCATATGTATTAAAGTTCGACTGTCTGTCTCTGAAAATACTGCAATTTTCATTTGCGGATTTTTAGAGTGCAAGTAACATATTTTCACAATATTTTAAATGTAGGTCTATGTTTGGTCATAGACCACGTTCTATTTAAGTTGCTTTGATAATCTTTGGTTTATATTTTAACTAAGGGTAAAAAATTCGCAAAAAATCCAATAATGTTTCATGTTTTGACAGGACATCCACATAAAGTCCCACTACAAGTTAGGTATTTTGAGGATATTTCTGTCGATGTGGCCGAAATTTGGTATTCTGGGTTGTAGGTGGGTAAACAACTTCTTCGTACTTCAAATATCAATAGTTTGGGCTAGGTTAACAAGATGAGTGGTTTACACCACCAAATGTCCATAGTAGGACATAAAAATTGTGGTTCTAGAAAAGAAATAATCTTGAGATTGGTTTCCATATTCTCTAGGAATTTTGAGTTCTTTGTGAAGTTTGAAACCCCCTTAGATCGTTTAATTCGTCAATAGTATAAACAAATTAAATAAAGTTAGATTTTTGATATAGGCCCCTTATAAGGATCCTGCCAGATTTTATGTATTTTGACCAGATCTTTTTCTAAATTACTTTATTACTTTAAACAATGAAAACTGGTCCAAATAAAAACTTATAAATCACGGTAAGTAAGCCTTAGACCGTAATCTAAATGTTAGTTGAAGTTAATCACGATAATTGATTTAATTTATTTCTTGCCGAATCCTGTGACACATATTTGCTCATCGAATATATAAAGGTCGTACGATACAATACAATTTTTCAAAATGCGTATCTTCTATGTCAACTTCCGCTAAACACCAGTAAAGGCAACACGTGCATATGTAGGTGGACTTAAGACGGAAGAAGGTGTTACAGAACACGAAAACACATACGATTATAGAGCACTATGACAAATCCACAACCAAACACATTTACGGAAATTGGCAACGACATTCGCACATACGTAGATTCTCAATTCTCAATCTATAAATTTGTGTATCTTATTTCATTCACATTGTTCCGATGGCGGTGATATCCCACTGTAGAAAAAAATAACACCGTAAACAAGCAATGAACGAGTGAGCGAGCGGTGCTCTAGGTAAGGCGAGGTGCAGGCGGGCTTCGCTGGCCTGTGTGTGTTGGATGTGTGGTTGCTATTGAATGGACCGAACGACGACCGCATATTGACATTACAATATTATGAGTTAAATCAGTTGTGACGCGATACTTGTGCGATTAACACACACAATTTGTATTTGGTTCCCCCGCGAAAAGCAGACGGCTAATCTTCGATTCGAGAAAGAACACAAGTTTAGTTACGTTTTCGGGTTTATCTTCTGAAATTTTGAATATGAAATGTTAAGAAAAAATTAAAAATTTCCTCAGCCAAAAAATATTAAACGGCACGCACTCACGCAACGGTAGTAAAAAAAATTCACATAAACGATCCGCACGAGATTTGAATTGGATAAGATATAGCTAGGAATCCGGTGATGAAGATTTCGTTGATAGTAATGACAACCGTATACTTGTGGTGACGCATGCTCTAAACTATTTTTAGTGTTAAAACCCAAAAACAACAACAACACAGATAAAACAAAAAGTGTTCTTAACGAGTAGATTTACCTGACGCTTTGCCGTTTTTGTGCTTCAATGAAATATTGATCGATAGCTGGCAGAAAAAAAGTTCAGTGGCCAGTAAATGTTTGTCTAGCCATTAATGAAAAAAATATGCATTCTAACTAGCTAGCATCTGTTTAAACAGTGTTTTGTGTTTTTATTTTTATTGGAAAAAAAGAGAACAAACAACAGCAGCAACAACTCTAATTGATGGACATCGGTGTCGTCATCAATAGCTAGCCAGCCAGTCAGCCATCCGTCCATCCAATAACTAAAATTCCAATGAAAATAAAATAAAGACCAAACCAAAACAAGCAATTTGTTTTTAGTGTTGTTGTTGGTGTTGTATTAAGTTGGAGTGGTGGAACGTACTCGCTGCTGCTCATTCAACAACACATCATAGCCATCAAAACAATATACATAACAACAACAACATCATCATCATCGCCAAGAGATCGAAACAAGTTTCCATAAAACGACAATAATCTCTTCAAAACCAGGCGGCAAACTAT